GTTTTGCTGAACATCAGGAAGGAACAAGCTGCATCCTTTGGATCCTAGTTTTGACATCCCCAGATCCTCTGCTGTGTTGTCATCCATATTCCTCCAAAGCCAAGGTTCAAAGCAATGCGATGGTGCTGTTTTACACCAGGATTTGGCCCACACACTTTCCTGCCATGTCAGCAGAAAATTAAGAGGACTTTGGTTGTACCTTACAACTGGTTCTGCCCATTAAAACACTGCATGTGTGCGTTTGACTCCTTAATTAACCCATCCTAAGGCACTGCAAGGGTCTGGACCAACAGCCTCAACTTGATTTGATGCAGCAGTTGTGATCCTGAGAAAATGTCCTCTCAAATTGTTCCTCTTCCAATAAAAGATAACACAGCTTCCAGCCTTGCCTCATAGCATCCCTAGATCACCAGGACTACAGCAGCTCTCCCACCACCATGAGTCCATGATATAGTGAGGGTCATAAGCCTCAGTTACATCTTGTGATCCATTTTGGACCACAGTGGGGAAATTTGCAGCTCAGGGAAGGTAAGTGATGGAGTGGTTTTGGCATCCCAAGATGTGTGAATATGACTTTTTGGGCAGGATATTTTGGGTATTGCTATTTTTGGTGTTTCATCTCCATGCTGGTTAGCTCTGAGCCAAAGGCCACCAGTGAGAGTATCGTGGTGGTTCATGTGACTCCTGATGCTTTACACTACAGGCAAAGTAAAGGCAGGTCCATTCCTTTCTCTTCTGATCCAGACCCCAAACAACAGCATCTTCCCAGCTATTTCAGCTTTCTCTTTCCCCTGAAACTTGTGGCTTATCTTGCACCAAAATACCATCTGAGGATAGTACCTTCCAGCCCATCTCTGTTCCATTACCTTAACATGGAAAAGCCATTTCAGGATGGTGATTTCATTATACATCATTGATGGGGGATAAATTATTAAAGCACATTCATAAAAAATGAAAGACATTTTACACAGAGGAGGAGTCCTGACAGTAACCTAGATATGTCACAAAACCTGATTGCCACCAAACAGGAAAACCTGCCCCTCGCCAGAGCAGAGGGGTAAACTATGAAAGATGCACAAGGGTAGAAGGAGACATGAAGTGACTGGAATGACAGAATGGGAGATAAACACATCAAAGTAAAGGAAACGAAAGAGAAAAGACAATGGAGGAAAGGGGGAGTGAACAGAGGTTAAATAATTCAGGTCAGGATTTTTAAGAGCCTTGAAGAAACAAGGGAACATAAGTCACGTAGGAATCGTTGTGGGGGGAAAACAACCCAAACCCATCACACTCTTCACAGCATTAAAAAGAGCTGTCGGATATGCTGTGCCATTTGGACAGACCTTGGCTGGTGTGAATGAGCAAGGACTCAGTACAACTAGGGGTATTTACACCCTTCTGAGGAAGCGACCCATAAATCGGAAGGGCAAATCCAACAGATGCAATACCAGCAGTTTCGGCCACTTTACACCATGGATGCTGTTGCCCTCAAATCCTAATTGAATCTCCCCTCAGCTCTGCCCTGGTCCTCAATGGATCTGTCTGGGAGCTCTCCCCAGCCACCAAGCTCTTTCAGTCACTGCTTCATTAAATGGAAATAACCCATCAGATAAGGAGTTTTGCAGCATTAATCCATGTTCATGCTGCCAGTGCCGCTGGTGGGCAAAGCATCTGCTGCGAACTTTACATGTCTCCTCTGGGACATGTAGTCCCTGGGCTATGCTTTTCCCTGAAAATCAGCAAAAGTTTTCAAAGCTGTGAAGCCCAGGACCTACAAAGGGTGAAATTGAGTCAGAAACACCCTCCTGAACACTTTCCTCTTCTTTGCCAGTACTGCTGCTCCTCTTCTCTAGGGGATACATCCTCCCTGAACCAGTTTTATTACGCAGCTCCTGGAAGGGGGAACAGAAAATTTTGCCTCCTGTCTCTATCTCCCTCCATTGCATTTAATTTCTGATCTGGAACTATTCCTTTTCTTTCCTTGCTCTAATTTCTGGTCTCCTGTGTTGCTCCTATTTTAGTCTTGGCTTTGCTTGCTTGCGGGATTCCCTTCTCAGCCTTACCGATTTACACCGCTGCCGATACAAAGCACAGCCAAAGCTGAAAGGGTGTACCAAGTATGCTACAGATAAAAGCAATCATGCAAAATTCTGCTGCATTGAATTAGTCTTGCTGGTGGGAGGATAATTCCTATTAATCACATCTATTACAGTAATACCTCAGGATAAGCGAAAGACAGGCAGAGCAGTGAATAGCACAAAATGAGGGAAACTCCCAGCCACAAATACTTTGCAATCTAAAAAGAGAAGCACGGTAGGAAATACATAATATGTCAGGTGGGCAATACGACATTTGGTAAATCAATTATTTTTGAGAGTGGGTGGAACCTGAGTGGGGCATATCAGGTAGAGGGAGAAAAGCTAAATGGAAAGAGAAGTAGAAGGAAGCAAAAGTCTGAGGATAGCAGCTGACACCAGGAGGAAGGGGAGGGAAATATTAGCAGTGGAGAACAGAATCTGTCAAGGTATAGAAATTATTACAATTTCTTAACGAGTAAATATTCCAGCTTGTGGCAAAATGAAAATTTTGGGCTAAGTGAAATCAGTGCATTGCATTTCTATATGAGATGAAATTTGGATTAGGTTTTTTTTTTTTTTTTTGGTCGGTCTGCAATATCATACCCAGTCTGGTGGAAAAATTTGTGGTTATTTATGAGTTACATAAATTTTTTCTAAAGTGGGCATCTTCTGCCTTGATTTGGGTCAGTGTTTAAATTGACTCCACCATTTCAAAACTGACCTCTGTGAAATTTCACCTTTCTACTTCGGACACATTTCCCCGCAGTTTCCACAGGTGAAATGAAAGTTGGTGGCCACTTGTTCCTGCTCTCACCCTGTGCTGAGCCGCTTCAGGGAGCTGAAGAGGCAGGAAAACTGTCTGTATTTTGGTGAACGTTAGGGCTGGGTTTTCTGCCCCTCCAAGCCAGCTACCTGAAGATCAGATACTGATGGGAGAACAAGCCTTTTCTCTCATGTTTTCCACCATGGACGTCTGGATTACTACAAATAACTGCGTACAGATAAGATCCTTGGCTGGATCTATGCTGCCTTTTTTCCTCAGGTGCATCTGATTCAGAGCCAAGTGATGGGCTCTGAGACATCAGAGAGCAACAGCCAGACACCTGCCAGCTCCTGCTTCCCCAGGACACCAGCAGCTCCAGGGATGTGGAGCAAAACCTCCTGCAGGCCACCGACGTCTGGCGCTGGAGCTTTGGACTGAGCTCCTCTCTAATAATTGTGTGATCATGGTAATCATACACAAAAAAAGTTAATTACTTAATCATGTGTAACAAGGACCCTTCAGCTATTGAGCGAGGCACATACTTGGCGCAATTATTCCCAGGCATGTAATCTACTTCCCTTTGTATTGAGTATTTCATTAGTTACTATTCACATCTTCTCGCAGGTGCTTTGCAATGGTTCAGTGATTGGATTTACCCTCATTTCTTCTTGGCTTGTACAAACGCTGTCACTACAAATATTCCTCTGTATTTTATCCCTTTAACAAGGAGGTTCTTTCCAACCTTCCTGTTGCCAAAGAGAATTCACCACAATGTGAACATCAGGAGCATGAGGCAATTCCTGCTTTGCCTTCAAGGTCCTTTGGGTGGATCCCCATGTTTTTTGTCCTGTGTCTGTACAGCTTTTGGCACCCTTGGGATTTTGGTCATCACAGGGTGCCTTAGCAGTGGTATAATATGAATAGCAAATAGCAGTAGTAACCAAGTAGTAACCAAGGGTCTCTGCAAGTGAAGGAGATTGGATCTCCTAAAACATACACTCATTTTAAAGTTGATCCAGCCATTGCTGCAATCACTCTTGATTTACTCCTACACAGGACAGGAGTCTGTATAGGAGGAGTAGTTATATAGGAGGAGTATAAGGTATATCATGGACTTGCATTTTCACTTTGAAATACTTGCATGACTTCTCCAAGGCAGTTTCATTCTGAACTACACCCAGCAAACCATGCCCTCTGGTTTTGGAGGGCTTTGGAGCTCCATGGATGCTGTCCAGCTCTCCCCACCTCTGATGAAGTAGCAGCCTTGCATAAATAATTTGGGAAGGAAGAGCAGCCTTTTGCTTAAAGTTAGCACTTGCGGAAAGTAAAGCAAATCCCGGCTCTAAGTGTTATAACACTTCAGCCTAAACCTAGAACTATTTATTGGAGTGTGTCAGGCCAGTGCCTTGCTGGAACTGCAGTCTGGGTACTTCATGCACTTGGCTATCTATAGGGGACAGGCTGTAGGGCTGGACTGCATCTCCCATCATGTGCTGCATGTCATATGGACATAGAGAGCCTCACCCAGAAAAGACAGACATACAGAACAACCAGACCTGCTAATCTCATGAACCAGCTGCATTCCTCCTACAACATTTCCAGTTCCTACTTGACAATTTTTCAATCAAACATTTTTTGAAAAATGCTGAGAAGAAATACTAATTTGCCAGCACATTTTGGTGTCTCGTCCAGCATTTGCCCTAAACGGCAAATTGAACAAACTGAAAAAGGTCTGAGATGTTCTTGGCTATGACACAATGACAAGGGGATCTGCCAGATGTTGCACAAGGCCTACTTAACCTGGCGACGTCCAAATGTGAGTTCCTGACAGCAGTTAAGAATTTATAGTCATTAAACCTTCCAAGGATTTTTGAAAAGAGTTGCTGATCCTGTCAACTAGGCTTCCGGGATAATCTCAGAAATCCAGTATGAAACTTCCATGCATTATGGAAGTGAATCTGATCTCTCTATTGCCCATGTAAACTAGAAAGCCCATTGAAACCAGTGCCATTTCACAGCTATGAATAAAAGGAGAATTGGACCCATTTTTCTTTCTCTGACTTTACTGAATATAAATCAAGGCACAGACATGCTAACTGCATTACACAGATCCTGGTGACAGCGATTTCTCAGTGCCTGAGAGACAAGAGAAATTGTTGTTCAACTCTGATCATCAGCTTTATTGTATGCCAGCCAGACGATACACATTTCATGCAGACTATACGTTTGCTCCAACTGCTGCTCAGAAGAAAGTGGCCAACTTCATGTGCGTTGCTCCTGCACTAAGGTACTTGGTTCTTGGTCTGTAGCACCAGCGGTTTTTTCAGGGCTCCTGGAAGCAGAGAAAGAGCATCACTGCAAAGCTGTCAGAGCAATGGGCTGGAGCACAACAACAAAATGCCACCCCCAAGTTGGTATTTGCCCCGTGACAAGTGGCTCTGCAGAGCGCTCCCCAAGCAGCCCGCACTTGTTTGGTATGTCCTCAGGCTGGTGGGTGAACCTGGTCCTGGTCCAAAACCCACGGATGTCCACAAAATTGGGAACGCTGAGGCTCTTGACTTTTTGACCAGCCCCTGGTTCAACTGGGACCAGAATCAGGCCCACCCATCAGCTATGAAAAATGCTTGCCAATTGATTATAACCTGCATCGAACGAGCACCTCGCTGTAAAATTGTCTCACAAAGAAGCAGTTTGTTTCCCTCAGGGCGGATGGTGAAAGCCCTGTAATGCAGGGGAGCCGGAGCTCTTGTGCTGCTCAGGAAGCACCTGGTGCCTGTTAAAACAACCAACAGGAAAGCAAGGCCAGCTAACACATGCTAACCCCCATTTGAGAGCACCCCTCCTCCTCAGTGTCCCCAGGAGACAGCAGGAGGTGATGGTGGTGGCACCAAGGCACTGAATCCCTGTTGGGACGAGCTCTGGGGCCAGCTCTGTCCCTGGGGTAAAACAGCAGAGCTGCATCAGCCTACGCACCAAGTTTTGATTATGCTTTCCATGTTATAGGCAAACTATAGCTCCTGTAGAGTGGATTTGGGGTAGTCTTGGATGGCAGCATAAGAGAACAAACCCTGGGAGTTAGGGTAGATGCTGCCAGGAGAAGCTCTGGACAGGTGCTGGAGGGAAGTTCAGGTCTAGTTGAAATGCAGAGGGAGAGATGGGGAATGAAAGGCCTGTAGGGAATGAGGGAATCAATCTTCATTAGGAGAGACAAAGAGAAGGAGGATCTCCAGGGATGAGAAGAGGTGTGTGATGGATGGGGAGGGATCTGTGAGGCCGCACAAAGCAGATGGAGAGGCAGGAGCAACCTGCTCAGCTTCAAAATGGGCACCTTTGCGCAGCAGTTGCATTAAGGGACTGTGGAAGTCCCCTTTGTCCCCCAGCCTGATGTTGGCTTTGTTTAGGGAATGGTTCCAGCCTGCAGGTTAAGGGAGGGAAGGAGAGGCTGACAGCAGGGCCAGGAGAAGAAATGCTAGTTACCATCTCCTTGGCCCATGAAACCAGCCCAACCCAGATATGTAAGACCATCCCTGCGTGAGAGGCTCATGGGGAAGGACCATGTGGAGAGCCCTCGCAGGACAGCTCTTGCTCAAATACTCACCCTCATCCTGCCCTTTGTGCTTACAGTGAAGAGACATTTGCTGCTGGAAGATGTTGGCAGAGGCTGACATGGCCTTTCCCCTGTGCCCCAATGTAGGAAAACTGCTGAGTCCTTCCAACCTGCCAGTTCCTATGGGAATGACGTGAACCCAGCACTGTAAATCAGGGATTAGGGGAAAATGCTGGGCAGGTCCTCTTTGGAAAGATGCCCCACTGTCAGGTCAGACCAGGTCCATGCTGCTCATGCACAGACATCTACTAGGACAGGACCTGTTGCCTGGTCTCTGGAGAAGGCTGCAGATGCCTGCACATCCTTGCCAGCAGCTACTCCAGATGCCAAGCCACCCCCTCCAAGCATATTTTCACATCTGGTCTAGTAAGGGAGGATGCAGTAACTATGGAGCCTGAGCTCAGGTCTTCTGTGCCAGTGCTCAAGTGATGCTCCCCGTTGTAGGTGGGTGAACGCCAGATTAATCCCACCTCTTCCCTGGGCTTGGTGTCCAACCCTGCTCTTGCTGTTGTCCTGCACTTCAGAATAGAGTTTGACAGCCAAAATAATCCCTCCATGGAGGAACATAAACTGTTTGAAATCACCCTCCATCAACATTTCACCAGGGGAATTCACTCCTCTCAGCAGCCTTGGTGTGGTACCTCTCTGTTGAGGCAGCCATGAAAGCTGGTGCATGCTGTGCACGTTTGCATGGTGGATACGTCTTCATTTTAATCTGTTGGTTCTTTTCTCATGAGTGTGTGCATCCTTCAGCCATGTATTGCAGGCTGGCTATAAGACCCAGTCTCCTGGAGGAGAAAGAGGCTGTGTCCCATCCCCATCCCCTGGCTTCCTCTTTGTTTGCGTTGAATACAGTTAATTGTGTGATTGTCTCAGTAAAGCTCATTCCGAACCTGTTTTAAACTGGAAAGAATGTGAGGGAGAGGTAATTACATTATTTCCCCCAGCAACTGGTATCCAGGGACAACACAGCATTGCACAGTCTCTCACCAGGAGAACAGCCTTGGCTGCTCTCTGCAGGGCTGCACAGTGAGGTCCAGCCCTGGGTGCCAGTCTTGGGAAGAGTGAGCTGGGAGGGTGAAAATTGAAGGGCTGAAAGGAAAGCCTGATCCTGAAAAGTAACAAGACCTAACACAGAAACAGCAACATTTGCAAATGATCTTTGTCTTAGCCAAGCGAGGAAAGAGTTTGGAGATGTTTGCTCTCACGAGGGCTGTCGGTGGCAAACCATTGCCTGGTGAAACTCATGTGTGCAGCAGAGGTTAATTATGTGACGTGACAAGGTGAGAAATGGAGAAGAGATGGACTGGAGGTGACAGATCATTACTCAGGTTACGGCTGAGAAAGAGTACAAAATTCAGCAGGGATTCATTTCCCAGAGGCAGCACCTGGTGTCTGGAAACAATGAAAGGATCACGACCACAAGCACACATAGCATGGTCTCCTCTTCGCTGGTCCTGGTGTACAGCAGGGAGCTGGGCTCTTGTGACTTGGGGTCTAAACTTGCCTCTGATGGTGATGGGCTCCAGCAATGTTATCCCGTTCTTCACACATGTGGAGGACCTGCTCACAGCTCACCCCTGTTCCTTTGCAGATTTGGGTCTTGGTGTTTTGGTGGCCTCATATCAAAACAGAGCTGATGATGTTTATCCTCCTCTGCAAAATTGTCTTCATTGAAAGCAGTTTAACTATCGGGGAGCTGTTATGAGTCTGTATAGACAGAGCCAACTCCAGGCACATGGAAAATTAAAAGCTGACTTCGAGAGCAACTAGAAGCACCAGGAATCCTCTCCTGATGGCTCAGGAACAGCAACACAACCCCAGGCACATCTAGCTGTGAATTTTGGCACTGAAGGTCCATTTTTTGGAAGAACCATGAAATATGGCCTTTCTTTCCCAGAGAATTCAGATGAGGGGAGAGCTCTCCTCTGTGGAGGAACTGATCTTTTGGTTAGGGCCCTCACCCAGGAGGACAGTGGCAGATTCATGTTCCTCAGAAGATACGAACTCATCAAGTCCTGGGCAAATGCAATTAACAACTAGGTTACAGGACATGGAGAGTTGCTTCTCTCTGCTGAATGCTTTATGGCCCTTTGTGCATCAAAGTTTGCTGTCTGTGATAACAGCGACAAAAATACAGGTCTTCTTTGTCCTGGCAAATGGCCTTAATGTTGTACTCAATATGTGGTCTCAGTTACATTCCTTGGAAAAGGCAACAGCATCAAATAGTGGGGCTAAAGCTGTAAGTTAGAGCAGGGAAATGAAGAATTTCAGCCTGGGTCTGTATCTAAGCAAGCAGAGGGGTTGCTATCGCTTGCATAGGTTGGGTGTGCCCTGGAAATGTGGACCAGTTTGGGGGCAGCAAGGGCTGAAGGAGAAGAAAGTGTCCGGTTGTGAAGTCTGACCTGATGTAGGCGTGAGCAGCAAGGAGCTCAGCATTTCAGAGTTTAAACAAATGTCCACCTGCAAAGCAGCAGTTATACAAAGCACTTACAAAGAGCTCTGCTAGCAGGAATTTAGATGTTGGAAGACTTCATTGTACCCCCAAGGTCAGCTAGGGACCCCAGTGGCATGCAGGAATATTGTCCCAAATACCATTCAGTCCCTAAAACTGTGCAGCTGAGATTTTTGGCTGCTGTCTTAGGTTGTTCTATAGCTTCTTCAGTCTTGGAGTCCAGAGTTTGGAGAAGGAGGTGTCAGCACTGTGAAAGCACGGCCGGTGGGCCATGGTGACACATGGGAAAGGAGACAGGGCATTACCTACACCAAGGGATCCTCTTTCCCACTGCTGCTTTCCAGTATCTACACTGAAATCCCTAGAGCCTGGAGATATCAAGCACAACCCAGCTGCAGGTCTCACTTGTCCTAGATGAAATCTCCAGGCTCCTCACTGAGGAGGATTGGACCTCCCCACATATTTCATCTCTTCTGTCTGCTCTTGCACAGCACCACTGAAGGAAGCCCAGGGGACCGAGCACTGCTTGATCCTTCTCCCATCCATGTCCACCAACCAGCTTGAGTTTGGCCTTGAGTTAGGTCTTCAGACCTAACTTCTGCAGATGGCCCATGAAACCAGACTGATGGCCATGCTGTGAGCTCAGCTGCTCACTCAGCATGATAAGGAGTCTCTGCTTTCTGGCAGGGTGGTGTCACACCACTGGCAGTGAGGGTCACAGTAAGGATAGAGGACCTGAGCTGCTCCTGCATCTTTCCATATGTGTGTGGAGCAGAGCTGGGAAGAAGCGCCATCTCCATAGCTCCAGCCAGCACAAACCAAACTAGCATGTTCAGGCAACAAATTAGGACAAGGAAGGAGAAAGGATCCACCTGGGACTCAGTCGCAGTCGGGTCCCTGCTGTACTCACAGGTTGAAGGGACCATGGGCAGGTCTAGTCGAGCCTGGGATGGAGGAAGCAGGTGTTCAGGGCACCTTCTGAACCACAAGAAGCCTCCTGGGCATCCACCTCTGAAACATATCTTGCTGCTAAGCCAGCTTCTGCTTCTTCCCGAGAGGTGCATCTGCTTGGATTTCCACTGACACACTTCTGCCCACTGTGTTCTGTACTGCACTGGGAAATGCAGTTCCTTTAACATTGGCTGCTTCTGCTCTGGGCTACAAGATTTCTCCTTTATTCTCCCAAGTTGCTGCATTTGTTGAGCCACCTGGCAGCCCAGGACACCTCTGCATGAAGCTGGAGAAAGGCCAACCTCTTTATCAGATGCAC